ATATATTTAAAATTGGAAGATAAAAATTAGAAGCTAGGCGATATCACTTTTCTCGAATTCAAATATTGTATCACCAATCTCGAATACCTCGAACAATAATGAACTTATTTAACATTTATTTAACTTGTTTCAATGTATCAATAAATTAGTAGGGCATACAGAATGGTAAAGGAAAAACAATTTACTAAATTTTAAGAAGTAACTTTTTAATTTTGATTACAGATGGGCGAATGCTAGAAAATATTCGACTATTCTAGATTTCGAATAACTTATAACGTTAAAAGTAATAAATTCGAGTACAACGAATATCTCTAATATCTTTCCACGCGTATAGGCAGAACCTCTTCTGAACTTCTGGCTTAATTTGCAACAAGAAAAGAAACAGACGACACCCTGCAACTGTTCGAATGCTTTTTTTCATAAGTATAAATCAGAAGGTGTTGAAAATGTGAACTATTGTTGATTAACCTATTGTCTATAATGCAGTGAAGATACAAGGGGTGCCATTGACACCAAAATAAATAAATAAAATAAAATTTATTTGTTCAAACTTTAAAACGTGATTTTTAAAAATATTTACAATGGCAAATAAGATTTACCAGACCGTCCGCATTGCAATCGTCGCATACGTGTGCTGGCACTAATTAATTATTCGAATATTTTTAATTTTTGATTTCGCTGACGTTTAGGTTCTTTCTGAAGATGCCACTGTGACTATTAATATTAGTGGTAATCATGGTATTCGAATGTAATATCGAATGCTTTCGACTATTCGCTCATCTTTAACAAAAGCTACCGAATTTATTGCTTATAAATGTACTAGTTTTAAACATAATTTTCTACAGCTTTTTGTGTAGAATCAAATCTCAGTATTGCATCCTACTTAATAATGCCATCCTTGTAAAGCTTTAATGAACAAATTTATAAATCGAACCATTTACACGCTTATTCAAATCCATAAATATGAAATCGAATGCCATTCGAATATCATTCATATTACGCTTTTGTATCGCAAACGACGTTATCATCAACTCATGTCACTCTCAAACTCAAAATCAATACTGTCAAAATTACAGCTTATATCCGACATTATACAATTATTGATGCTTTAATTTTCTAATTTAATAGTTTTTTAAAATTTTAATTATTTATGGTTTTAATGTTTTTAAATGGTCAAAAAGTAACATATAAGTTTTCAAATGATGAAAAATTATTAGAGTAGACTTCATTTTTACAACTTGATTTTCTTGTGGAAAACTGAATCAACTTATTTCCTATGACGTAAATGTTATAGCAAAAGCAAACAACCTCGGCATACTTGGCCTGGGATTTCAAGTAAATGTCATAAATTGAATTACATTATTGGAGGTACTGTAGTTTGGAATATATTTATATATTTATTTATATATTCAAAGACATGACCAAGAGCAAAAAGAAAAAAAGTATGTCATTTCATTAGTCTTAAAAGAAACTTTATACTCGAAATTTTATATAATAGCGTAGTATATATGTGTACACTACGCTATGTATTAGTGTATACAATAAAATTTTTAAAAATTTATGTTAAAATAATTAAATTTTTTCAAGGTTAACAAGTACATTTACTATCGATGTCACTGCATCTACTGCATTTGCTACCAAACTGAATGCACAAGAAAACGAAAACAATGAATTTGTCAAGAACGCTCGAATGGTTTCAAATAGAAATATATCAAAATTAACGCTTTTGGGATGTAAGTTTTTTCTTTTATTATTATAATTGGAATTTATTTACGCAGTAGAAGTTTATTAGTACAATCCCTCTAAAAAGTAGCTCTAGAAAAGTAGCCGAAAATTCGAAATTAATCGATAATAACCTTGCATGCTAGTATTCCTCAAATCAAAATTTGCTTGGATACGTATTGCGATAAATATACGGAGCGGAAATACTGTATTATAATTTATGCAAGTATGAATGATAATTGAACGTTTTCATTAATACAGTGGTAGGTTTACAATTAAACATTAATTATCATAGTATAGTTATTAACTTCATTACCATCAGACTGATTGAAGAGCGTTGGTAAACAAATTGGAAACATACATCACTGTGCTATAAAGCAAACTGTAGACAATGCCTGCAATGTTAAGATCTCAAATAAGTTATTAAATTTTACAAAACTACAAAATCGTTTGGTATTATTTTGACATTATTGATAAACTAGTCTTGTTGGAGCCGAATTAATGAACTTCTGCCGTATAATCAATTGTTAATACCATAAGATATGAGTTTTCGAACACATCACAAATTGTATTTTCAAAAACAGATTTAAAAGAAATAAAATAAGGTATTTTAATTAATGTATATCATTTTTAATTAACAGTTTTGATTGCACCGAAACTAATTGGTTACTTAAAATTGGAATTTTTTCCGAGGAAATTATTAGAATACTTCCAGAACGTCGTTTTGAAAATCTTGGAAGAGAGAAAACAAAAGAAAGTTGTAAGAAATTTTAATATGCATTTCGAAATATTTAAATGTAAACATTCTGTTAAAAAGCGATTATCTGATATGTGTTATATAACATAGTATATAAAAAATAACTTTCACTTCGATTTCCACAAAGCATTTTATTTAGTGAAATGCTTTTCAAATGAAATGAAAAGCATTTCACTAAGTTAAAAAAATCTTTTCGATTAATTGTCATAAAATTTTGTAAATCTCTTTTAAATATTAATTTAAAAAAAAAAAAAAAAAAAACATAATGCTGATAAGGATTTCTGTGATTAGAATTGATTAATTATGATTTATAATTAATTCATATTATATAAAAAAGAGCTTAAGGCACTATTAGATGTATAAAATAACATAATTTAAATTACCTTATATTATTCTATATTTCGTACTTGTGAATTTTACAAAAATTTTAATGAAGTTATAGAACATGCTTTAAGAATTAGCACGAATTTATTGAATAAATATTTTTTCTACAGGATTAAGTTAATAAAAACAATAATTGTTTTTTTTATTGAATTCTGGAGATAAATTGAATTTGTTGACTAAAATGATTTATTTTATATGAAGGTCATTTGTCGCAGTGACTTAGCAAAGTGTTCCAAAATTTAGCAACAAAAGTCACTTCTTTTTAATACACTTTAAACAATAAGTTGAGTAAAAGATTTCTTCTTCTGTTGGTTACGTAAACAGGGATAACTTATCATAGCCACTTAAGAGAACTCTCCACTTGTGAGGTGAACACCCAGATAAAGTCTGACTTATAGTAAAACTCTGCAATTTTACAGTATAATTTCAAGAGTTGCCACAGTATTTTAACATGGAACCACGAATACAACAATTTATCTTCTCTCATCTATATATATATAAATGGACGTGCGTGTGCCTATATTTCATTCTGCAGCCGAAACTACACATCGCATATGAATGGTGTTTATGTGTGGTAGTAGCCCCCAAGTCTCCCATCATGCACTATGGTGGTTGCGTCTCGATAGCTATAAGGATGTGGGAGATATGGGGTTGAAAGTGGTTAACTTCTAAAATATGTAACAATGGAAGTGTCAACAATTTGTTCAAGAAAGTGGTTTGACAACAAATTCTCAAAGAAAGTGGTTGACTTCGAAAATGCCTGACGCTTCAATAAGAATGTTTCTGTTTTTTCTAGAAAGTTCCAAAGCCTAGTAGTGAAATTTGGTACACAGTTAGGGCACGTCATGAAAACGCACACTAAAAGGGATTTTTCGAAATTCCCCCCGCGGGGGAGAGGGAGATCATTAAGGCTTAACTGGGAGAACGGTTTCTACTGTACTATTTTAGATGCGATTTTTTGTTTTCAACTACATTTAGTCTTCATTGAGTACTTAGGTGTATTAAATTGATAACATTTCAGACATTGTTACAAATATTTCTATATATTTCGATTTTTTAACCAAATGTTCGAACCGTTTTAAATTCGAATTTCTTTTTGCATATTGGTTCGATTATAGAACGATTGCAAACTTTCCAGAAAATTTATCAAATTGAAAACAGTTCGTTTGATTCTCAGCAATTCTCATCATTCCAGTGGTAGGTGTTAAATAACAATTACTATGGTTGTTTAAATATTGAATGTAAATAGGGTTTGCTTGCAAAATCTGTGCGAGCGAAGCCGCGGGTAACAGCTAGTAGTACATAAAAATGTTTAATTATTAATATGAATTTTTTTGTTTAATCTACCAATTTTAAATTTTTTAAAATATATTTCAACTTTATTTTTAAATCTGGATTCAGAGTTGGCATGAATTTTTTTGTAAAAACTTTATATATTTATGTATACAGTAGGCCCCGGTTTATGACACGCTTTTGTTCTTGGAGGAGCTGTAAAAAAATAAAACAATTCTAATTATAGACTTTAAGTCGATAAAAACTAATTACTTTTTAAAGTCCCTCTTAAAATTGACATACCGGTAAGTTATTAAATTTAAAGCTCTGAAATGAATGTTGTAAATCTAAAAAAAAAAGTCGTTGTAAAACGAGGTATGTCTAAAATTACTGCATTTGTAAATTTATATTTGTGCAGTTTATTTATACAAGTATTCGTTTTATGGATTTGAAAAAGTAACAAATAAAATTATTTTAATTTTAAAAAATTTGTTTTCATTTTGAGTTGCATTATCAATTCTATGAGTAAAGAGATGAACACATTCGTTTTAAAATATTTTATAAGCTTTATATTGACTATAAATTTTAGTTTTAATTTTTAAAAATTTAAACAAATTGTTTAATAAAGCTAAGAAAATTTTGAGGTTTAATTATTTCATTGATAATGATGCTTAAAAAATAACATTTAGATGTTTAATAACTTTTATAGAAAGGAAACGATTTTCTTCAATTAATGATGGATGCTCAGGAAGGAATACTTGAAAACACTGCCGAAGACTTGAAAGAAGTAGAGAGTGAAATAAGTAATAACAAACTTCAACCCAAACACAAAAGTATTGATTTTTTTTTCATTATCGTATATTCTTGTCAGTAATTTATTTCAATGATATTTTTTATTTATTATGTTTTAGCAATGAGCCTCGACGAAATTGTTGCTCAGAGTATTCTTTTTATTATCGCTGGCCACGACACAACAACAAATGCGTTATCATTTTTTTGTTATGAAATGGCATTAAATCCAGAATGCCAAGAGAAGTTGTTGAAGGAAATCGATGAAACATGGGAAACACATGTAAATAAACGTTTTCCTTATACTTTTTAAATATATAATTTATACTATGATGGTTACCTTCCAGAATTAAGCAAATTAATTCATTTATTTCTAATTATTAAATTTAATAAAAGATGGTAGTTTAACGGACTACCTTTAGTCAAAATTAAATTAATATGCTTATAATTAATTAGCCATATTATAGCCCGATTAAAATCCTTAGATATCGTTTCTTTGTTTGTATTTTCTTTATTCAGTTCTAATATAAAATTACTTATTCAACGACACACAAAAAGTATTTATCCGTTTTTATAGCTACATATCTAAATTCAACAATAAATTTTAAATTTAGTAAAAATTCTATGGTCCGATAAATAAACTAAGATACTCAATTTCAATCAATTAAATATCGGATAGATGAATTTATTAAAATTTTCAAATAAAACTAATTGAATCTAGTTTTTTCTTAATCTTTGTTGATGAAGCCGGTTATAATGCAGGCTACTTTTGTACTATTCTTTTATGCTATTACTTATACAATACAAATTAAAATGCGACGATTTATATCGCAATAACCTATAGTCAATACAGTGTATGAGAATTATCAGAAATTTGATATTTCTATTATTTTATGTTAAATTTACTATCATTGATGTTACTATTACTAAGTAGAAACATGATAAACTTTTGAAACAGTTCTATCGTAGACTTTAATATGTTTCACGTAAATAATCGATTATATATCACTTTATGTTAATATGTAACCTTAATATCTTACAAGTGACAAAATAACAGTACGCACATCCCATGTGAAATTGTCATAAATGGTAATAAAAGCAGAATCGTTTGCAATTTGTAACAAAAACTTTTTAAACAAAGCACACCACTTGAACTATGCTTCAAACAAAAATCCGTACATACATTGTAACAGGAAAAGTATGATGTACAGGGGAAGACACTAATAAAATGCATTGTGCAACGAGATCTAAACACTTTTATCCGGGTATCGTGACCATGTTATAATAATTACTCATTTAACATTCAGTTGTAAGGAAAATAACTAACATTGTATTTTAATATATTCATGTTATATATTCTACTTAAAAGAAATGCTAGAATATCTCTAACATGGCTTCTTCGTGTTTATGTAAACATATAAAATTTAGTTTCATAAAAAATTTTTAGCACCTCTATCATTTCTTTTCACACATTTGTGAGATATCGGACCCGAGTAATTACTTCCGTTAGTCCGACAACGCTCACGAGTCAGGAGATAGCCGTTCAAGGTTATTAGCCCGTAACAACGGGACGCGTTTTCTAAGAGCGTTAAAGGAGGTGAGAGGGTCGTCAGTTTGGCTTAGGCGATATTCGAATAGACAACACCAAAATGCAAGGAAAACG